GAAGAGACATATGTTTTTATCAGTTCCAGAAGTTTTCTTTCACTTCATTTGACACACCTGAGCCGTCTGTCATTTCTCTATGAATATAACTTTCTTAACCATATGTTTTTCATTCCATATAAGACGCACCCATGTTTTTAGAAAGAGGAAAACAACAACAAAAATATTCTGAACCAATAGACCTGCAGAGGTACAGGAAATGACCAGAGGACACGCAGACACAGTACACCCCCCCCACGATGATGACCAGAGACTGAGGGACCAGTACAGGGATGACCAGAGACTGCGGACCTAGTAAAGGAGATGACCAGAAGAACTGCGGACACAGTACATGAGATGGCCAGAGACTGCGGACATATGTACCGGGGAATGACCAGAGACTGGCGGACATACAGTCAGGTCCATAATATATGGGACATCGACACAATTCTAACATTTATGGCTCTAATACTCCACCACAATGGATTTTGGAAATGAAAAGAGCAAGATGGTGCTTTAACCTGGCAGACTGTCCAGCTTTAATGTGAGGGTATTTACATCCAAATCGCAACAGTGAACGGTGTAGGAATTACAAAACAGTTTTACATATGTGCTCTCCACTTGTTATGGGACCAAAAGTAAAAGGGACAGGAATAATAATCAGAATAACTCTGCTGTGAAAAGCCTTTGCAGTCAATTACAGCCTGAAGTGTGGAACGCATAGACATCACCAGATACGCTGGTGTCCAACCCTGTTGATGCCTGCAGGCCTCTACTGCAACTGTCTTCAGTTCCTGCTTGTTCTTGGGGCATTTTCCCTTCAGTTTTGTTGTCTTCAGCAAGTGAAATGCCTCAACTCGGATTCAGTGTCAGGTGATTGGACTTTGGCCAATTGCAAACATTCCCACTTCTTTCCCTTAAAAAACTCTCTTAGTTTGCTTTTTGGCAGTCTGCTTTGGGTCATTGTCCCATCTGCACTGTGAAGCGTCCAATGAGATTGTGAAGCCATATGGCTGAATATGAGTAGATACTATTCCCGAAATACTTCAGAATTTCATCCGGCTTGCTTCTGTCCAGCAGTCACATCATCCAATAAATAACAAGAGAAGCAGTTTCGCATTGTCAGCCATCCATCCCACACGGCCCATGAACACCTACCACAACCATTGATTCACTGATGTAGTGGTATGCGACGGATTCATGAGCAGTTTCCATCTCCATACTCTTCCTCTTCCCATCAACTCTGGTACAAAGATGCTGTCGGTCTCATCTGTCCATGAGGATGTTGTTTCCAGAACCTGTGAAGGCTGTTTTTTAGATGATCGTCTTTGGTCAACTCTAAATCTGGCCTTCCTGTTTTTTGAGGCTCCACGCCATGGTTTCCCATCTTGTTGCTGAAACCCTCTGTTAATCACTCTGGTGAAGTCTACCTCTTGATTGGAGTAGACTTTGGCAACACATACACCTACATCCTAGGAGAGTGATCCTTGATCTGGCCAACTGTTTGTGAAGGGAGTGAGAGAGTTTTCTTCACCAGTGAAAGAAATTCTTCGATCATCCACCACCACAAATTGTTTTCCGTGGTTCTTTTCCGGGTTGCTTTTGGTGTTGCTGAGCTCACCGTGCGTTCCTTCTTTTTAAGAATGTTCCTAACAGTTGTTTTTTGAGCCACGTCCTAATGTTTTTGCTATCATCTCTGATGGGTTTGCTTTGTTTTTTTAGCCTAATGATGGGCTTCACTGATAGTGACAGCTCTTTGGATCTCATCTTGAGAGTTGGACGAGCAACAGATTCCAAATGCAAATAGCACACTTGAAATGGAACTCTGGACGTTTTATCTGCTCAATTGTAATTGGGATAATGAGGAATATACACACACCTGGCCATGGAACAGCTGAGAGCCAATGTCCAATTACTTGTCCCATTACCAAATTTCACCCCCTGGTCCCCCCCCTAACCAGTGGAGCACATATGCAAACTGTTGTAATTCCTACACCGTTCAACCCTGGTTTTTGGATGTAAATACCCTCAAAATTAAGCTGGCATCTGCAGTTAAAGCACAATCTTTTTTGTTTCATTTCAAATCCATTGTGGTGGTGTATAGAGCCAAAAATGTTAGAATTGTGTTTATGTCCCAATATTATGGACCTGACTGTAGTACAGGAGATGACCCCATAGACTGCGGACACAGTATAGGGGATGACCAAGCGAACTGCGACATAGTACAGGAGATGACCTGAGACTACAGATATAGTACAGGGATGACCAGAGACTGCAGATATAGTACAGGGATGACCAGAGACTGCGTACGAAGGGATGAACATGAACCTTTCAGCAATGCACATATATACATTTTAGTATACCATCCAAAGGCAGTCTATGGGGGGAGAGGGAGGATCATACTCTGCCAGCCGGGTTTCAGCATCCTCTCTGAGGGCGGACTCACAACGATGTCTTCACGTACCCTGTCGCATTTCTGCAGTGCAGTGATCGTCCGGCCCCAATCTAAGGGCAGCGTGGGCTTAAAAGCGGAGTTCCACCCAAAAGTATAAGTTCCTCTTTAAATGCTTTGTCCCCCCACTTCCCCAATAAGGATTGGCACCTTTGGGGAGCGGGTACGTGAATTTGACAGATGCCCGTTCCCTACTCCACTGCGATTGCCTAGACGATCGAAAGCTGAAGTTGTCCTCCCCCCCTTCTCCTTCCCCGTAGTTTTTTAGAAACACGTGACAGTTCCCAGAAGACTACGGGCCATTCACAAAGCACAGCGCTTCTGCACATGCTCAGTGGGCACACCCTGCTGTGAAGCTGCAAGCTTTCACAGCCGGTGTGCCCACACTGAAGATGCCGGCGCCGGGGAGAGAAGATGACCGGTGAAGCCCAGCCGTGGTGAGGACACCCCTGGACCGAGGGACAGTTAAGTGACTGTATTTTAAATGTGAGCAGCTACAGTATATTGTAACGGCTGACTTTTTTTTCCAGCTGGAACTCCTCTTTAATGGGGCAGCTGCTTTGGGCCCGCCTCTAGAATCGATCTCCTCCTCTCTTGTGCCACAGAAGAGCCGACTGCCGACCCGGAATTCTATACATGCGGCGGGGAAGGGGGGTTGGGGGGGGAGTCCTGTCAATAGATTATGCTCCATAACAAACGCACAGAAGCATTTCCCCCAGATTTTTTGGGTGTGGGAAATTGCGTCCTTATGGAGTGAAAAAAAAAACGTATTTAAGAGTTTTTTAGAACATTTAACAGGAGAAGATTATGTGTTTCTAATAGTGGTTAATAAAATAAAAGTGAATAATAAATGAATCCAAAATAAATCAATGTCATACATCTATACATTGATAAAAGAGAGACGGAGCGAACACTGCAGAGACACATACAGATAATGCTGACATTGTCAATAACTTCATTATCCTGCATGTTACCAACACAATGCCATATGGGAGTAAATATATCGGGATATCCCAATCACAACATGACAAAGTATAAAAATATAAAATAATATAATATTAATAATATTTGACTACAAAGAAGATTTATATCAATAGAGATTATAGGAGAAGAAAAGATCACCTGATTGTGGGATATACAGTACCTCCCAGAAGTGAGTCCCCCCCCCACATTCGTGTCAATATTGTTTTGTATCTTTTCATGTGACAACACTGAAGAAATGACACTTTGCTACAATGTGACGTAGTCAGTGTACAGCTTGTATAACATGGAAATTTGCTGTCCCCTCAAAATAACTCACACACACCGCCATTAATGTCTAACCCGCTGCTGGCCACAAAAGTGAGTCCCACGAACACGGATATGTCCTAAGGATGGGAACCTGTTAAAGAACCATATGAGTGGTTTATGCTATAGAACAGGGTCCCTCAAACTACGGCCCACGGGCCCCACATGCGGCCCGCCAAGGCCATTATTATAATCCGGCCCGCCGGCAGGGGCGGACAGGATGGGACACTAAGTACAGGGGTGGGCAGGGGGCTGCTGTACAATACCTGGCTCCGGTCCCACAACGATCCAGTCCAGGAAGCGCTGCTCCTTCATTCACTCCGGCCACTCCCTCACTCCTGCCGCTCGGTCTCCGCCTGCTCACCGTGATTGGGCGCCAGAACTGTAGCTCAGGAAAGGCACACACAGGCGGCCAATCACCTGCGAGGAGGCGGAGCCGAACGGTCCCCGCGAACATCGAGGAGGAAAAGGGCCAGAGTGAAGAAGGACAGCTGACAGGTAAGTGTGCCGTGCTGATGGTGCTGCTGCAACAAGGATATGCTGGCCGCAGCAGCACCATGCTGGAACAGGGGTCAGCAAGTTATGTGTCATTGGTGTCAGTGGGAGGAATAGTGCCCCATCATTGGTGTCAGTGGGGGGAGGAATAGTGCCCCATCATTGGTGTCAGTGGGAGGAATAGTGCCCCATCATTGGTGTAATGGGGGGAGGAATAGTGCCCCATCGTTGGTGTCAGTTGGGGGAGGAATAGTGCCCCATCATTGGTGTCACTGATACTAATGATGGGGCCATTATCCTCCCACTGACACCAAATGATGGGGCCACTATTCCTCCCCCAACTGACACCAACGATGGGCACTATTCCTCCCCCCACTGACACCAATGATGGGGCACTATTCCTCCCCCACTTACACCAATGATGGGGCACTATTCCTCCCCCCACTGACACCAATGATGGGGCACTATTCCTCCCACTAACACCAATGATGAGGCACTAATTCCTCCCACTGATACCAATGATGGGAAAACTATTCCTCCCACTGACCACCAATCATGGGGCACTATTCCTCCCACTGACACCAATGATGGGGCACTATTCCTCCTCACTGACACCAACGATGGGCACTATTCCTCCCACTGACACCAACGATGGGGCACTATTCCTCCCACTGACACCAACGATGGGGCACTATTCCTCCTCACTGACACCAAACGATGGGGCAACTATTCTTCCCACTGACACCAACGATGGGCACTATCCTCCCACTGACACCAATGATGGGCACTATTCCCCACTGATACCAATGATGGGTCACTATTCCTTCCACTGACACCAATGATGGGGCACTATTCCTCCCACTGATACAAATGATGGGGCCACTATTCCTCCCACTGACACCAATGATGGGTCACTATTCCTCCACTGATACCAATGATGGGGCACTATTCCTCCCACTGACTCCCACTGATACCAATGATGGGTCACTATTTCTCCCCACTGACACCAATGATGGGACACTATTCCTCCCACTGACACCAATGATGGGACACTATTCCTCCCACTGACACCAATGATGGGGTACTATTTCGCTCCATAAGACACACTTGGGGGGAAATGTCTGTGCGTCTTATGGAGAGGCCGGCCCAGTATTCCCGCCGCCGTTGTATGTCCGCAGTCTCCGGTCATCTCCTGTACTGTGTCCGCAGTCTCTGGTCATCTCCTGTACTATGTCCGCAGTCTCTGGTCATCTCCTGTACTGTCAGCGTTCTCTGGTCATCTCCTGTACTATGTCCGCAGTCTCTGGTCATCTCCTGTACTGTGTCCGCAGTCTCTGGTCATCTGTCCGCATTTGTTCATAGTTTTTTTTTTTTTAAACTATAGTCCGGCCCTCCAATGGTCTGAGGGACAGTGAACTGGCCCCTGTTTAAAAAGTTTGAGGACCCCTGCTCTAGAATGTGGGTTTGAGGACTCTCACCGTGGGCACCCGCCCTGCACTGATGTCAAATTGGGGGAAGTGGCTGAGTCTGTAGCTGCAGCATCCCAAAAGGCATCAATGAGACTGCCTACATATGGATGCCCAGAAAACCAGAAAAACAGCCATTTGCAAAGAGTAAAATTCCTATATTTTCCAGCAAACTCTGGATCCTCAAATACATCCAAATCTTTATTGAAGAATGATCACATCACAGAAGACATAGTGCAATGTTTCGGAGCCGCGCAGGACCCTATTTTCATCCCATGCCTGACAAAGGGGTCCTGCGCAGCTCAGAAATGTTGCACTATGTCTTCCTCGATGTGATCATTCTGCTGGCAAATATATGCATTTGATCTGTGATATCTCCAGTCCCAGCTGGTTGTTGCTGCAGCTTCCGTTACTCCTAAAGCCTTATCCGGGAAAGTGTACAATGGGAATATCGATGCAACTTTGCCAAGAGCGTCCGTCCGTGTGAAAGTGGACATGCTGTAAGCTTTGTAAACTGATCCAATGATAAACACGGCTGCCAACCCCCCCAAAAAAAGGGAGTGGGGTCATCCGGTGACATCCATTGCAGACCCTTCCCTTTAGCTATTTAATAACTGTCATACATAACTAAATAACCAGGGGCCAGGGTCACCCAATGATGTCACCAGGGGTGAACCCGCTCCCTTGTGATGTCACCGACCCAGCATGCCCCTGGCCGATGATGTCACAAGGGGGCGGGGGTCAACCAGTGGCATCGGGTGGCCCCCTGCCCTTAGTTAATTAAGAGCTGTCAGATGGAGGAGCTGTCAGATGACAGGAGCCTTCATCAGATGAAACTGTTTTTTTTTCTGGATCAGCGTCCAGCGTTCATCATGATTGACGTTGGATCTGCTTTAGGAGAGATTTTTTTTTTTGTGGGGAGGGTTGTATTTTAATAAAGGACTTGTGTGTGGACTACTGTTGTGTTTTCCCCTTTACATCTAAACTCACAGAGTCCCCCTTACATCTGAACTTGCAGAGTTCCCCTTTAAATCTGAATCCGCAGAGTTCAACTTTAAATCTGAATCTGCAGAGTTCCCATTTGCATCTGAACTCACAGAGTTCCTTTACACTCTAAGGGGGGACTCTGCAAACTCTCATGTAAAGGAGAACTCTGGGGACTCTGACTTAAGGAAAATCACTCCGAACTCTGGTGTAAAGGGTAACTCTAATATAACGGATCTTTGGTAAACAGAGCCCCCATTTACATCATAGTTCACAGCATTCCCCTTTAATCAGTGTTCCCAGAGCCCCCCCCCCCCTTACATCAGAGGCTGCAGAATTTGCACTTACACTGTAAGGGTCCTCCTGTGTGTGCTCGTGGCCCCACCCACACTCCAATCCCCAGCAGCATGGAGCCCCACAAAGGGGATGAAGCAGGGAAGCCCAGCAGCTGGAAATCAGAATGTGGAGGAAATGTGTAGACTGCCCAAACTTCCTTCCTGGGTGAGTGATATCACCAACCATGGTGATTGAAATGCCCCCCCACCACTACTAATGTAATGTGAACTCTGTGGACTGTAATGTAAAGGGGGACTCAGATGTAACGGGTGCTCTGTGGACTGTGATGTAAGGGGGGCTCTGGTGAGCAGAAACCCCCTTACATCAGAGTTCTTTTACACCGCCTTAAATCAGAGTTCCCAGAGCACCCCTTACATTAGAGTTCCCCTTTACATTACAGTCCACAGAGCTTCCCCTTTACAGTCTCTGATGTCAGGGCTGGGCTCTGGGAACCCTGATGAAAAGGGAATGCTGTGAACTATGATGCAAATGGGGTCTCTGATTACCAGCAATCCCCTTATTATAGAGTTACCCTTTACATCAGCGTATGTAATGTTCCCTCTTACATTAGAGTTCTCAGTGTTCTTCCTTAAATCAGAGTCTGCAGAGTCCCTCCCTAGAGTAAAAAGGAACTCTGTGAGTTCAGACGTAAAGGGGAACTCTTCAAGTTCAGATGTAAGGGGACCGCTGTAAGTTCAGCTGTAAAGGGGAACTTTGTCAGATCAGATGTAAAGGGGAACTCTTTGGATTAAGATTTAAAGGGGGCCCCCAGATCTCTCCCCCTATATGAATAAGTATGGGGTACATAGTACCTGACTCATTCACCAAAAAAGTGTAAAATGTGAGTGAAAACACAACAGTAGTCCACACAAAAGTCCTTTATTAAAAAACAACCCCCCCACATAAAAAAAAAAATCTCTCCCAAAGCACATCCAACGTCAATCACGATGAATGCTGGATGCTGATCCAGAAAAAAAAGAGCTCTTCATCTGATGAAGGCTCCTGCCATCTGACAGCTCCTCCATTTGACAGCTCTTAATTAACTAAAGGCAGGGACCACCCGACGATGCCAGTGGTTGACCCCGTCCCCTTGTGACATCATCAGCCAGGGGCATGCTGGGTCGGTGACATCACAAGGGAGCGGGTTCACCCCTGGTGACATCATTGGGTGACCCTAGCCCTTGGTTATTTATTTATGTATGACAGTTCTTAAATAGCTAAAGGGAAAGGGTCTCCAATGGATGTCACCGGGCGACCTCACTCCCTTTTTTTGGGGCAGTTGGCTGGCATGTTTATCATTGGATCTGCTTTTCAGGGGACATTTATTTTAGCAACCAGCTATTCTACAAATAGAATTTGGATCTGTCGATCAATTTTCAACCGATTCGAATTCTAATCATTCAAGAAATGTAGAAAATGAATAAAGGAAACTAAATGAAATAACACTAAACTAATTCTGAAAACGAATAATGAAACAAAATTAGTAACATAATGAATATGAAGCGAAACAAAATAAATGTTTCCATTCCACACATGCCTACAGACTATAGCTCTATCGACTTTATGGAGGCAGATCAAATCAATATATACAGTTGTGGCCAAAATTATTCAACCCCCAATGCTGTAAAGGGGTTTAGGGACTATAGTGTACATTTGGAATTGTATTCAGAATCAAATCCTACAAGGACGTTGTAACTACCCAAATGCAACTAAAATGACATCATATGTAATACAGTAGTAAATGGTTCTTATGTGGTTTCTTCATTGCCACAATTATTCAACCCCCTTAAAGACTACCACTCTGAAGAACAGAGGTTCATACAGGTGCTTTCCATCAGGTATGAAAACACTGTGGATGTCACCGAGCAGCATAATAAGCACCAATTAGGCAGCTTTAAAATGACTGTGATACTCAGCTCCTTCTAGACATTTACTGGTGTGGTTACAAACATGGTGAAGGCAAGAGAATGGTCCAGGAAGACAAGAGAAGAGGTGATTTCTCTTCACAGGAAGGGCAATGGCTATAAGAAGATTGCAAAGATGTTAAACATACCAAGAGACACCTTAGGAAGCATCATTCGCAAATTCAAGGCAAAGGGCACTGTTGAAACGCTACCTGGTCGTGGCAGAAAGAAGATGCTGACTTCGACTGCTGTGCGCTACCTGAAGCGTAGAGTGGAGAGAAGTCCCCGTGTGACTGCTGAGGAACTGAGAAAAGATTTGTCAGATGTGGCAGAAGTTTCAGCCCAGACAATAAGACGCACACTGCGTAATGAAGGCCTCCGTGCCAGAACTCCCAGGCGTACCCCCTTGCTGTCTCCAAAGAATAAGAAGAGTCGACTGCAGTATGCCAAAAGCCATGTGGACAAACCACAAAAGTTGTGGGATAGTGTTCTGTGGACTGATGAAACAAAATTAGAACTGTTTGGGCCCATGGATCAACGCTATGTTTGGAGGAGGAAGAACAAGCCTATGATGAAAAGAACACCTTGCCTACTGTGAAGCATGGTGGAGGGTCAATCATGCTTTGGGGCTGTTTTGCTTCTGCAGGTACAGGGAAGCTTCACGTGTGCAAGGTACCATGAATTCTCTTCAGTACCAGAGATATTGGATGGAAACGTGATGCAGTCAGCACACACCTGAGGCTTGGGAGGACGTTGGACCTTTCAACAGGACAATGATCCCAAGCATACCTCCAAGTCCACTAGAGCATGGTTGCAGAGGAAAGGCTGGAACATTTTGGAGTGGCCATCGCAGTCACCAGACTTAAATCCGATTGAGAACCTCTGGTGGGACTTAAAGAAAAGCAGTTGCAGTGCGCAAGCCTAAGAATGTGACTGAACTGGAGGCCTTTGCCCATGAAGAATGGGCGAAGATACCCGTAATCGCTGCAAGACACTTGTGTCAAGCTATGCTTCAGTTTAAAAAGCTGTTATAACTGTAAAAGGATGCTGTACTAAGTACTAAGATTGAATGTCACTTGGGGGTTGAATAAAACTGATAATGCTGTCACAGAAAAGACATTTGTGGTTATTTCATTATAACTGTTATGTTATATTTGTCTGACCTACAAGTGCCTCTTTAATGTAAATGTAAGCAAGATGACTGAATGATCAAAAGCAATGTCAAACTGGCCAAAACACTCAATTTCAGTGGGGGTTGAATAATTTTGGCCACAACTGTACACCGTGTGCCACGAACCTGTGGTAGTGAGCCCCTGATGGTGGGGATGGACTTGCAACAAGCTGGGACCAGGTCCCTGACCCCAGGTACGCCCAGCCAGGATGCGAAGACTGCTCGCAGGAGCAGAGTAAAATAGGAGGAGACCAACAGATTTCGATAGACTAGCCGAGGTCAGGCCGGGCAGAAAACAAACAC